ACAACTTAATTCAATATTTGTCATAATAATATCTATGTAACAAAATTTGATAAATTTCGTGGCTAATTACATTTTTTTTTTCTTCTGAGAATTGTATTGAAACTAAGCAAATAATAGATTGAAGAAACTAATATGTACTAACATACGAAGATAAAGGCATGTATGTATTGTTTTAAATGTGACATATCTATGTTATTTAATGACAGTAAAATAAATATACAACTGACGCTTATCTTTATAACACAAGAAGAAAAACAACACACTTTGGCATTATTTATTCATTCTACTTGATTATAAAGGCTTTGTTTGACTATTTTTTTATTTATTAGAATTTTTCAAGGTAAGGTAAAAGTGTATTAAGTAGGGGTGTCCGATTAGCATTAGCATTGCATTAATTAATACTTTTTTTAATGCTTTTGCATTAGTATTAGAAAAGTATTAACCTAACGGTAATGCTTAAATTTCCCAAGAACTGAAAAAAATTGTTTCCTTATGGGAATTTTTTCCCCAAAACAGAACAATTTTTTTCTGTTATGGGATTTCGTTCCCAGAAAAAAAGAACGAAATTTTTCTGTTTTGGGGAACTATAAGCATTACCTTTAGGTTAATACTTTACTAATACTAATGCCAAAGCATTAAATTATGTTTTTTGAACACTAATGCTAACTGGATACCACTAGTATTAAATAAATAGCAAGTTAGTCATTTTGTTTTGATTTATCGAGTGTTATATACATCATTTGAATGCATAGCTCTATTAGCATTAAAAGAAAATAAAAAGAAAATTTGAAATGATTTACGATTAGTTCTGAAATTCATTGTTTCACTTTTTGTGTTTTATTAAATGAATGATTAAGAAGATTTGTAAATCGTCATCGAGTAATATAATTCAATCTATTATCTATAATTTCAATTTGAAAAGTATTTCATTTGTAAATTCTATGCTTTTTGAGATAGATTAAGTGTTCCATTTTGAAGCATTCGCTAAAATAATAAATTGATATTAAACTTATTTTTCCACTATTTATTTTTAATTTAGATTGTTTTATTTTGAAAAAAAAAAGCAACGAAATGATGAACATACCCGTACATCCAAATACAATTTATATACCAATGGTCCAAAGTCAGTTATTGGTTTTCTATATGATAAAATATTTATAATTGATATTTTAGCTGGATGTTTGACAGCTGAATATGATTCAACATATCCAATTCATTTAAATGGTATAATTAGTCAACACGAATTTCAAGAATCAATTAAGAGAATAAACCTTACATTTTCTTCACATAAAACTTTTATAATTTTTTGTTGGGTTATATTTGCTCTGACATTGGTTATTGGAACAGTATGTTTTGTTATTGGTGGAGTAATGGCAACTAAATTTTGGACAGTTTTTTATGTATTACTCGGTCTTGGCTTTTTTTTGACTACGTTTGGTTCAATTTTTTTTGCTATTGGATTTTGTGTTATATATTCAAAACGTGCAGCTAGAATGCGAGAAGCAATCGCTCAAGAGTCAATGAAATATTCATCGAGATCACTAACACCATGTAGCTGGAGATTAGATACTTCAAGAACTTGGTTTGGACCTTATGGATATAATAATAATAATCAGATGTTGTATCAAGTATTAGTTTTATTTTTAATTCTTATCTACCTATTCCCTAAGAAAATTATTTAAAGTGTTAGCTCTCATATGTATAGAACGAAAGAGACAAGCAGTGTCACTGATGTTATGTGACAGAACGATGAAAAAGATGACCTTCGTGGGAATCGAACCCACACCTCCTGCTATCCGGGCAGT